CCCCCCCCCCCCCCTGTGAGACCGTGAGACTGAGTTAGCACGCAGGTGAGTGTGGAGGTACGTCGCTAGACGAAGCGGTGTTAGGTCATTGTGGAAACGTCACAGCCGAAACGTCCGTACGCGTACGAGGAAAGGCATGCGGACGTTTGTTGATGGTAATGACCTAGTCGTCTATTTGGGGGTCGTTTTCCCCTGTGGCATGTCTTGTGTTGTCTAAGGATTGTGCAGATGAACATCATGAACGGAACGGTGATGTCCGTGGGTAAAGTACGTTCGTTCGTGTCGGCGCAAGAATTCTTTCGAATGAACAATCATGTCTTGTGCCATCCAGTTTTCACCCGATTAATCCAGCCGAAGCCGATAGCAACACCGGGCGAAGCAGACGGATACGGTACGATCGCCCAACGCCACCTTTGGCTTTACAAAAACAAACGACTATTTCGAAGAACATATCTGTACCATCAAATGCGTGGTATCGTGGAATACCATGCTGACGAATCCACCACCAGCAGCGGCATCTACGCGGCGTCTCCGTCCACCCTATCATTTTTCTTCCGTCTGTTGCACACGAACAATCCAACACGGAAATTTATCCCAACGAATCAATCGTTGCCTTTCTCCACGCGTAATACGCAAACCAAGGCGTGGATTGCAAACTCAACAACCCGCCCCAACACCTCAACTTTTGTCTCACTTGGGCCTTCCCTGCCATCCACGACACATCCATCATACACGCAAGAACGCATGCGTTGAAGGATCGACAGGGCTCCTGCAACCGACACGAACTATAACTGAGTCTTTCGTTGTGGAACAGCACGGTTATTTTACCTTCTTGCCAAACCCTCACAGCAGTCACATCCCTTCGCCCAGAACACAAGAATGGGACGAGAGACATATTATTTTTCGCTGGAGAAGCAACCCACTAATCTCGTGTTCACCTAGAGAACCAACACCTGCAATGGCTCTAGCCAACCATTGTCCTCACCCGAATACTCAAAAACCAGCACTTCCGTATCCATAAACTAGCCTTCTGATTGACCGCAAACTAAACACCCTCATGCGTACGCATTTTGTCCCTAATCGCTTGCTCGTAGCTCTCCATATCAACTCTTGACCACACCCGACACACATCAAAAACATGTGCGATTCCCTCCACCTCCCCGCCCTCCTTCAGCCAACGGCTGTTGCTGAAAACGCCGCCTAGCTATAGCTTGGACCGTGTCTACACAAGCCAGCGGAAGCCCCGCTCCTGGTGTGAAACACTGGCCATACATGCCCATACATACAGAGAAGAAGATATAACCTGCGACGTCACCAAGTGAAAGTGGGTCACGTCAAAAACCCATCTCTTGTTAGATCACGCCCAAAACTACTAGAACTGCGAAGACCTCCTCACATTCGACCGGTACATACGTGGGACACCCTAGGGTAGAACCTCCACAAGATATAAGTGGTGTCATCCAGAAATCAGGACCACTTGTTAGCGTCGCAGTCCTCAGACAAGCCAGGGGAATCAATCAACCCCGTCCTTCAAAATCATCTTCGAACGCGGATCAAGCTGCAATGCTGCTGACTTTACATCCAACAAATACACACTAGCAAACAGTGCCGCGTGCACGTTTCCATACCGCTCTTGAAGCCAATATAGCTAGCTATCGGCCAATGCACCGTAACGTAGGCAGCTGCTGCAGCTGGTGTGGTTGTGGCCCCTGATACGAGGGGCAGCTGCACAGTGCCGTAAAACGAACATCCCTACCGCGCACGAGCGGCCCATCCCATATAGCTACAAACCCAAAGAATGATCAAAAGCAATTCAGAATTAACTTACCATGCCAAGTCAAATCTTGCCCTCAAAAGAGAACTGTTTGGTCACGGCATGAAACAACGATGCGAGGTGCATTTACCATCGAAGCCTTGATGGCCGCCGTGGCTTTCCCACGACACACCACACTTTTCGACAAAGTGAAATCGTGGGCACGAAACACGGGCCGCGCCATCCCAATGCACACCTCCAACTCAAGCCATCGTGTCTGTTCTCGGCACACCCACAAACGCAAACAACTTCATCCATGCTGCCCCCCGCTGATTTTCTAACTCATTGGTCAGCCGGTCGGCGCAAACGTAACACGCAAACGCATGCAGAAGCAATTGCGTCTCTTGAAAAAAAAACGCGACACTTCTACACACTGCACACCATGGTGGCACTAGTGCTCGGCGGAAGTGGAGGCGGCGGCCGCAGCCTTGGCGGCTGCTGAAGGGCCCGGAGCGGTGTAAGACTGCATGGCCTTGGTGAGGTCCGCGATGAGGTCTTCCGCAGACTCGATGCCGATCGACAGCCGCACCAGGTCATTGGGGAACTCCCGGGCGGCGCGTACCTAACGTTTGGTCGAGGGACATAATGATTGGTTCGTTGTTTTCGGAGGGGATGACTGATTGGTTTTGCGGATGGGCAATTAGACATGGCGGCAAGCAAGCGATAGAGCCGTGAAAAAAACAGCAACTTTTGTGTTCGAAACCAACACTGGAACATCGGTGGACATAATCCCTATCAGATCGCGAGAATAAAGCAAGCTGCTGTGCGCGACTTGATAACCATGCACACACATCACCGTGTTATACACGTGTCGCATGTCATCACCATCTTCAACAATTGCACACAAGACGAGAAAACGCGGGTCGACTTGACATTTTCGAGGAAAGTAAGGACAGCTCAATTTTTCGCCATTAACAGATGCAATAGGGGACGGACCGCACGAGGGATCCTTGCGTGCGATCACACCTAACTTACGCGCATAGCAAGCAAATCATCCAAACACCGAAGGGATACAGAAACTCTCAAAGACAGACATGGGTCTCACCTCCGCGGGGATGGATGCGTGGGACATGGCTGCGGGCATGGAAATAAGGCTGTTCACGCTACCGAAGCTCACGGTGATCTTGAAAAGCTTGGTCACCTGTTTCCGCCAGGGAGCGACAAAGGGGGCATGAATTCATAGGCATGAACGTCGACGAAACGTGAACGTGTGCCAACGAAACACCGAACAAAACCCAACAGAAGCACGTAGCATATGCCCCGAGATAGGAACACAACTCGGCTGTGATTAACGCTTTGCGAGAGCCCAATCCTCGCCGCCCTTCACGCCACTCTGCAATTAAAAACAGCGCGGGCAACACAAAACGCGTCACTCTTCTCTGGCCAAACAAAACAGTCGAACATAGCACACTCACAGACAGGGGCTGCTTGAACACCTCAAAGTCGGCAATGCAAACCAAGCACAATCTGACCCATACAAACACTTTAAAGGCCGAGTCTTCATCCACCAAGCCCCCTCTGTGCAAACAGAACCGTTCATTGCATCTCGGTGTCGGACGTACCGATACGATGTGCTGCGAGAACGCGAGAGAGCCTGTGCGGAAGCAGACCACGCTACCTCCGCCGCTGGCTTGTGCCATGTGGATGTCGTAGTCAGGGTGGGACTCGAGACCCGTGTAGTAGACCTGCGAGACAAGGATGACACAAATAAACCATGACAACAAAGAAGAAAAAAAATACACAGAAGTAGACGGCAGCAATACAAGACACGTCACACGGAAACGCATGGCCGAAAAAAAAAAAGGTGGTATTTAGGACAAGGAACGAAAACACATTTGAGGGCCAACGAAGGGCTGGAACACAAACATCGCCCCCCGCGACCTGTTGATTAGATTGTATTGAGTCAACATCTCTCGGTCGTGATCAAAGTAACAAGGCGGTACAGTAGCGATGGAGGGCTAACAAGGCAAGACAGCTGCCGCCGAGATATCCACCGGGCTAGGATAGGAAGGAAGACGCCACCGCTGCGGGTAGGCCGTACATGATCTGAGCGCGTCATGTTGCTTCCCCAAACAGTTGCCTCCAGTCCAAGCGCATGCCGCCTGGTGATAATGTTCAAGGCAATTCCTGCACGTCTCCCAGACAAATAATTCCTATCCCTCCCCTCAGCGAAAGTCCACTTCTGTGAAAGCCTTTGGAACGCAGACTCGTAAGAACCGTTCCTACGATGAGTGTTTTGCAAAAATGCAGAAAATTAAGAAAAAATATATATACAATAGATACACCAACGACAAAACACAAACCACTGACGTGTGTGGTGCAGGGGTGGGCCTTGAGGAAGCGGGCGACGCGAATGGCGTTCTCCTGCTGCTTCTCCACGCGGATGTGCATGGTCTTGACTCCTCGGAGCAGCAGCCACGAGTCGAAGGGGCTAAGACCGGTTCCCTCGGCGTTCTGGAAGAAGTAGATCTGAAAAAGATGAAAAGACAAATGACGGCACACATTTACAGAAACAGGAACGTTGATCACGCTCGTCATCTTCAGACTTCTTGAAAACATTTGCAGGTGTCACGATGACGGGTGCGCCAACATAAATCCAAGTGTGTTATTGTGTGAAAGACATATGCATCACAAGCATCGCCGAAGTGTGAACAGCAGAGATCCGATGCTTTGTCGGGTACCAAAGGATAAAACCCCCCCGCTCAACTGCCCGTCACTTTAGTTCGAAAGCCCCGCATCGATAGCAACGCACAGCGTTCCAAAACGGGACACGTGTCAGCACGACTAGTTGCCCCACATCACGCAACGGGAACGCATTAACCTTAACAGGCATCATCCATCACAACACCACACAAGCGGTCTCGATACTTTCATCATCGTCAAGCCACGCTGTACCGTGTGTACGATACAAGGTAGTCCCTCCCTCATGCACATCCTTTTCTATTGTTGTCACCTGCTCCGAAAGTTCCTGGTTCTTGCAGACCACGACCCCGGCCATGACGTCAGCGTGTCCCGAGATGAACTTGGTGGCGCTGTGCACGATTAGATCCGCACCGAGGACGATCGGCTTCTGCAGGCACGGCGTCATCATCGTGCTGTCTACCTCCACGAGCGCGCCCTGGACACGCGGATGGGAATCGAGGGGGGGGGTCAATATGTCTTTTTATTATGGATACATATGTATACCTAGCGACTACAGCGTGCATATCGACACATTTCCGACGATATCGTACAATGATGGGTATGTATGTACCTACACTAGTGATTACATCGTTGGGTTATCGACATAGATACAAGGGTATTCTAGCTGCAGGGATGGACGCATCTGTTCGGCTACTCTACGCGTCGAGGCTAGGGATGACATTATCGCTCCTCGCCTTCACGACTGGGTACTGAGTACCGCCGAACTTTTGCTGGCATAAGAGTGGAGTGGAGAGAGGCGTACAGCGAGGGTTTGGGTACGGCTGCCGCCCATCTCATACCCACGCAAAATAACTCATGAAAAAAAGTCACAAGGCATGGTACAACCAACACCTTGTTTCGGTGAAGAAAACAAGGTAGTAACAGGGGATCGCTAAGAGGGTCGAGGATGGAGCTGGCGCCATCCCCGTGTGGTAAGCCTGAGTTCGGTCACCTTCGAGTGCGCCACCCGGCAGATGTCCGGGATGTTGAGGATGCGCTGCATGGGGTTGGTGGGAGACTCGATCATCACGAGCTTGGTGTTCTCGGTGATGATGGAGGCCAGGTTGGCAGGACCAGCACTCCCCGACATGTCCACGTAACGCACCTTGACGTTCATGCGAGCAGCCACCTACAACCCGCCAGAGTTTACGTTACAAGGAGGCGATTCTTGTTCACGTCCGTGCGAAGGGCAGGGTTACATTGGAGGATGGCAAAAAACAAGAAACACAAAAACGGGTACGACGCATATGCTCAGCATGTAAGGCGTTTGAATTTTGCCGAGGAGGCGCTATTTCGCCTGTGCCCATTGTGCAATAGCGGCGTAGTTACAGAGGCAAAGACTCTATTGAAAAAATGGGTTGATTTCGGTTGATTCAGATAAGGTCCGGTTGGTGCGGTCGGGTCACCTTGCTGAGGAGGCGGTAGGTGCCCCCGTAGCTGTCGTTGTTGAGGATGATCTCCTGGCCCGTCTTGACGAGGCGGGTCACGGCGGACAGGGCCGCCATGCCCGTGCTGAAGGCGAAGGCCTTGTGTCCCTCCTCAAGCTCGCAGATCTGCAAACACAATACATCATAAAAAGCACATGGTCGTGGGTCGCGTCAAACAAGGAGGAAAACACCGCCACGCCACGTAAGCACGGTTGTTCTTGTGTTCACTGTAAGTTACTGTTCGGTGAGAGTGCGAGGAGCGCAAGTGGCGGTATTGTTCGGCAACATAATTTTTGGTCGAAGGTGCTCCTGGGCATTGGTCGGTTGCGCGAGATCGATGGTCTCTGCGTCGCGCACATAGCTCGGAGGGCGCATTGTCACCCCCCCCCCCCAAGTAAGAAACACCAAATCGTTTCCTGCATCCATGAAGGTAGGTGACTTTCGGCGATTGCTGGGAACATCGCTACCAGGAAAAAGAGCTGAAGAGGAAGACGTAGATACCGACCTGTTTCTCCAGAGCTAGACGCGTAGGGTTGCCAGATCGCGTGTAGTCGTAGTCGCCGAACGTGGTAGCCGACGGCTGCGCGAAAGTCGACACCTGACAAGAAAGAAAAGAAATGACAACAAAGACGTTGTCGAGAAAGCACACAGGAGTGAGGCCGTGGGAATCTCAACACTGCTGTCTGCGCACAAATTCCAAAACGCTCCAATTGTGTGGGTATATAGCGAATTATCGATCGTGTTCATGGCCCGCCACAATAGAAGGGTCCTAGGCGACAAACAACGTGACAATAAACCGGTAGTCGACGGTGATATCGATAATCCAATACAGAGACATACGCTACTCTCAAGCGCTCTCGATTCTCCTGAGGGATGACCCCACCTCTCAAAACGAAAAAAAAATGAACCACTAACAATGAAGACACAGCAGAGGCGTCGTCCCGGAGAGCAAACTACAAGTCAACGTACCATCATGGTGACGTTTTCTAGAAACGGCCCTTTGTTTCTGCTGTACATCAAGAATACGCCCCCGCCCTTCCAACACACACAAGGAGCCGAGCGATGGAGGACAAGAAACTGACTATTGTCTGCCCGAACCAACACCATCTAATGCATGTACGCAGCGGCACCAGGATGAGTCAAGCCAGGCACGTGGGGGGTACGCGGCTGGCGCCGCACCAGCCGTCCACACCGCCATCCACCGCTCTTCCCTACCTGGTAGATGGGCATGCTGCTGGCGCCGTAAGGGTCGTTCTTGCAGGGGTTGTAGGAAGTGATCTTAGTCGCCATGCTAACCTCCTTGTCGGGCCTGCCATAACGCGCCCAAGACAAGGGGGGACCGAGAGCGAATTGTCAAAACAATGTAAAGGCTTTCGGGTCCAATTAGCTCGGGTCGATCGAGTGCATCTGCGGAGGCGCAACCGCTACAATTCGACAAGACCGTATAAGCACACCATCCGCAATGCTGAACCTAGCACAACTCCGGGTGCGCGTTTGTTGGCCTGGCCGCGACCTGCGTTTCTTGCGCATATCGGTCGTATCTACGAAAGTTACTACTGTCGTGGCAGAACACGGACGCAAATCTAAACGCCCAACCTTCTCAACACGCCGCGCTCGAGAACGCATTGGAAAATGCACTTGTTTTCTACCACACAACAAAATGTGCATACATCAATGGACATGGACGAAACGCACAGCTCGCTTCGTCCTCTCGAGGCTCTCGAGGGAGCGTGGTCAACGGCCTAAGGCACGCAAAGCATGTGGACGTCTCCCCCTGCGCCGGCGAAAACCCGGCGTATCGCCCCGTGCGGGCAATTGTACAGCAGTAGGTATGATCCAAGCTCAACGCTCTAACAGGTACGGCATGCGTTGATATGAGTGCATCCCCCCTCCCTCTCCCCCTCCCCCTCTCCCTCTTGAAGCACTCACGTCGTCTCGGCCGCCGCCGCCGCGGCAACCGTCGACGCCTCCTCTTCCTCGTCCGGCGAAGCCCCGGAGAGGACGGCGTCGAGGTGGGTGCGGCGACGCTTCGAGCTGGCGGCGCCGAAGGAGTGGGCGACGTGGGACTTCTCCAGCAAGTCTTCGAGGCGGGACCCTGGTAAGTCGGTACAGCAGTCGGTGTTGATGCGGGGTGAACTGCTGTTGGCGGGGAAACGTACCCGGGGGGCTAGATCTCACGAGGGTGTGTGACTTACCCGGTTTTTTTCAATCGATGTCCTCGGCAGACGTGGTGATGAAAAAAACGTCAGACGAAAGCGAGCAAAACATCGCGTTGATGGATACGCCTGAATGAATCGCCGACCGCAGCAGCCTATGCTGTGCATACCGAGGTTACCCGCCCGAAGTCCCAGCAACAGGGCGCCAGAATGGAAACTACCCGGAGAACTCCTTCAAGAAAAGGGTTAGGGCTAGCGTACCACAGAAATAACTTTCCTACTGGCCCTATTTTGAAACTCTCTGTTTCTGTTCCTCCGACACGCTGCAACTTACCGAAGCGAGCTGTGTGACCTACTGCTGTACCTCTGTGCAGAGAACTATATTGAGGGGTATGTATGCATAGTAAGGTGTGTACATCGAATCAGCGATCTGCTTTTCCAGCTCGTGGTACGGTTACGGCCGACAGCCTCCGCATTTCGAAGGGAATGATCCCTAGACAACGGCTGTTACGGGCAACACATTGGGGATGGATACTCGACACACGGTGTAGCATGATACAGCAGTAGGAATGCTCACCTCAGGCTCTTTGGCTATATAGCCGAACAGAATGATTCAGAACTTCGGGGTACGTCGACTTGAAAAATGATGCGGCCGGTGACGCCGCTACCACCTACACACAGGTTCTTAGCGTGTGCGCGCTCCACAGGTCTAAGTACGTGTGCTACAGCCCAGCAGCAAAGCTCGAGAACGAGCGCATCGCTTCGTTCAACTGCAACCCTCCTTGCACGCTGGGGACTCAAGCAGTGTGAAGAATATTAATAATTTCACCTCGCATGCACAAGACGAGCCTCGACCTTGTTGTTAACAGCAGCAGAGCAAGTAAGTTGCCAATTCGGATACACAGTTGTCGGCCGCACGTGGCAAACCTCATCATCCGTTCTCATCCACAAGCAACCATATCCACACCAGCCCGTAGCGTAAACCTCTTGACTGCTGTAGGATAGAGTCGAAGAGAATCTCACGACGCCCAACAAACGTCACTCGGTGTTCATGTCGATTCCTAACAACCCCGCCAACACCAGCAAGCACGGCACTCGCCCTCTCCCTCTTTTCTCCAGCTAATACACCGAGGGGAGGACCTGCGGGGGGCGGCAGAGGTGCCCTAGCGACACAGGCACGACGCGGTGCAGCAGCATTGGGTATGGTCCTACATGTTGCGCTTACCGGACTGTTGGTTGGAGTTACGGCCCTTCTTCTGGCTCCCCCCAGACGCCGTCACTGACTGGCGAAGCGTCTGCTCCGCTTCCGTGAAGCCCTTGGTGGCCAGGTAGTCCAGGACGAGATTCAGCACCTCCGCTTCGCCGAGTTTGTCCGTAGCTGAGGAGCCACCAGTAGAAGCACCAGCCGCCTTTCCTTTTCCCGTGTCAGCCATGATCGTCAGAAGTACCCTTCTTGGGTGCAGGTTGTTGATTGAACGCTTGAGGTGGGGAGCAGCACGACACCACAGGTTCGTCGTAAGCCCCGCGATGCGCACTGGAGACGTAGTGATCCACGAAGCGAAAGGACGACGAGGTAGTCGGAGAATCCCTGTCTGTGTGGCAGGTCTGGCACTGGGGAGTGAGAGCAGCACCAACACTGCTGCTGCTGCCCGGAAAAGCATCCAATCTCACCGCGGACAAATGCACGTAAATGAGGGGGCTCCGCCGAATGCATTATTTTCGGTTGAATGTTACAGCAGTGGACGGGGGCGACTATTTGCAATCCATGGATTGCACAAGAACCACAGTCCAAACATCCAGACGGGTCGAAACCCCGGGAAGCCGCCCAGAGCGTCCCCGAAGAGGTTCTCACCCTTTCTCAAATTCAATATTATCTCGGAGCCTGGATCTAACGCCCGTAGTCCTCGGAAGCTCTCGCCTGCAGCAACAGCCCCAACAGGTCATACTGCCATACTGGCACATATCACGCCAAGGCCACCCTTCACACCCGGGATGCCCAGGAGACGCTAGGCCTCAGACGAGCAAGAGGACACGACGACACACAACGCCCCGCACTTAGGGAGTGCTCGTCTCTCTCTGTGTGTCTATCCGCGTGTGGTGGTGGTGCTGCTGCTGGTGTCGTTCGTGTGGTGCTGCTGCTGCTGTTGTGGTGCTGTGCTGCTGCTGCAAGCAATTCTTGCTGCAGATTTTGTGAACTACATACATACAGCAGTATCCTTTGGTAGATATAACCTGCTGCACGATGCTGCCGTCCGGGATGTCAGTCATCATGGGGCCGTCAAAATCTGTAGGCATCGTTTAGTTCGCACAACGCAGGCCCGCTCAACAAACTCGAGACGCGGCTCACACGGTTTCTTTCGCAGAGCACACAGGTCGACAAGCACAGATAGACGCAGAAAAAAAAATTTTTTTGACACTTTCAAACATTTTGACAAAAAGTCGGTCAGTTTAAAACGGCCCTAACGGGCCACACTTTTCGCAAAAAAAATCTATTACAAATATGATGAAAACAAACTCCGAAGGCTTCAACCTTGTTGGTCGATAGGGGTCACGTTCGGCCTGCGTCCCCTTCCTGCTCTACTAACGCCCAACGTGGCTGCAGCTCCGCCCCCATCCACCTGCTCGACCGTGCTCCTCTCAAGCAAGATCCAAGAGTCCACCACCGCTCACCACCGCGGGGGCGACTATTTGCAATCCATGGATTGTACAAGAGAACCACAGTCAAACATCCAGACGGGTCGAAACCCCGGGAAGCCGCTCAGAGCGTCCCCGAAGAGGTTCTCACCCTTTCTCAAATTCAAAATTATCTCGGAGCCTGGACATTTTATCGCTCTGCTGACCCTTGGGGTCCATTTTATTTTGGTATACCTTTTCTAGGTACGTTAGCCTGTGACCACGGAAATTGGCCGAGTCAAGTGATGGATTAGTACGGAGAGATTGAGACAGAAGGAGGTACTGNCTGCAGCAACAGCCCCAACAGGCCATACTGCCATACTGGCACATATCACGCCAACGCCACCCTTCACACCCGGGATGCCCAGGAGACGCTAGGCCTCAGACGAGCAAGAGGATACGACGACACACAACGCCCCGCACTTAAGGAGTGCTCGTCTCTCTCTGTGTGTCTATCCGCGTGTGGTGGTGGTGCTGCTGCTGGTGTCGTTCGTGTGGTGCTGCTGCTGCTGTTGTTGTGCTGTGCTGCTGCTGCACGCAATTCTTGCTGCAGATATTGTGAACTACATACATACAGCAGTATCCTTTGGTAGATATAACCTGCTGCACGATGCTGCCGTCCGGAATGTCAGTCATCATGGGGCCGTCAAAATCTGTAGGCATCGTTTAGTTCGCACACCGCAGGCCCGCTCAACAAACTCGAGACGCGGCTCACACGGTTTTCTTCGCAGAGCACACAGGTCGACAAGCACAGGTAGACGCAGAAAAAAAAAACAGAAAAAACAGAAAAAACAACATACAAGAGCGATTTGATGATAGACTGACCCGCACCAAAAAAAGAAAGGACCTGGAGATGACCCCAACACGGCAAAAAAGGGGGCGGACGAAGAAAGAAAGAAAAGAAAAGGAAATGGAACAAAAGAAATAAAAACAGGACAGGAACCAGATGGTCCCATCGAACGCTACACCGCAACAACCAAATAGACATACAAACACCAAAACGACAACATCACAGACGGCGATCGGCGCAAAAACGCGGAAGCGAAAAATAATCAACACACCGAGCCTTGACCTGCCGCCGGGGGGGGACAAAACATCGTTCAGGCATATGCCCCGGTGACGTCGTTAACCTAGGGCCGCGTACCGCTACTCACGTACCCCGAGTATGCAACACCGAAATTAGAGTTGGGACTCAGAAGTCGCGGCTCTCTTGCTACCCTCTTTCTGCAGCGCCAGGTCGCCTCTATTACTTGTCCTAGCGGGCAGGCGAAGAGTCCCAGGGTTGGCCATGAAGAGAGCCGCCCCCCGCCCTCCCGTCGTTGTAGTTCCTACCCCGCCTGCTTGCATATTGACCATCGTCAGAAATTGGTCCACGAGGGCTACGGCGACTGTCGGTGAAAAGCGATCAGACAAAATACTCGCGGCTTGCCCGAGCTTCTTCGTTACATCCTGCTCCGTGGGCCCCTTCTCCTTCAAGTTCAACAAAACTGCGTCTGCACCGTCTGGCTGCTCCCAACGAAAGACTTCCACCTCCCGCTGCATCCCCCCACCACCCCTCTCTCTCCCTCTCCCGCCGCCCCGTCCACGTCTCCCGCAGCGTGGCGGTTGGATACTACCCATCGAGGGCGGGCGACATCCGGCCAGTCCTGCTGCGGTGTTCCACCACCGCATCCGGATCTCCTCTGTACATTTCCAACAGCAGCTTCATGCTGCGCGTACTTTGGTTCAGGTCGAGATGCACACGGTAGTCGTACAGGTGGCGAATGCGCTGCTGAGACTGTCGATTGATCACCCCTGTTAGNCTTCTTCGTTACATCCTGCTCCGTGGGCCCCTTCTCCTTCAAGTTCAACAAAACTGCGTCTGCACCGTCTGGCTGCTCCCAACGAAAGACTTCCACCTCCCGCTGCATCCCCCCACCACCCCTCTCTCTCCCTCTCCCGCCGCCCCGTCCACGTCTCCCGCAGCGTGGCGGTTGGATACTACCCATCGAGGGCGGGCGACATCCGGCCAGTCCTGCTGCGGTGTTCCACCACCGCATCCGGATCTCCTCTGTACATTTCCAACAGCAGCTTCATGCTGCGCGTACTTTGGTTCAGGTCGAGATGCACACGGTAGTCGTACAGGTGGCGAATGCGCTGCTGAGACTGTCGATTGATCACCCCTGTTAGAAAGGCTTACCCCATTAGACTACTCAGTCAGCGCTGACTTAGTAGTCTAATGGGGTAAGCCTGTACTAACAAGATGGTCACTTTGACAAGCACCCTTATAGTTCTTTTCCTGCAACGCCTGGCGAGGGGTCCGTCTCCAGAGATCTCTACTTCTAAATTCCGAGTGACCAGCCGGGCGGCTACGAGCCGAGAGTGTAACTATTGTTAGAAAGGCTTACCCCGTTAGACTACTCAGTCAGCGCTGACCCAGCAGTCTAATGGGGTACGCCTTTCCAACACCCCCCTCAAACCACCCCATGCCCAGCCTAACGAGTACTCCACGCTGCAGTAACGAACTATCAAGAACTGCCGGTGTAGATGCTTGAATGCGACACACATCCGGAATCTTCATGGCGTGAATCTCGTGGTCCGCTTCCATGCTGTCGTCGCCGTCCACAAAACTCAGCTCGTCCATCTGGCAACTGGTCGTCTCTGCAACGACGGGCGCAAAACGACAATGTCGCAGAAACTGATATGTCATCTACGCAAACATGTGCTTACCGGCAACGGCAAGGGCAAAAGCAACAGCAACAGGAAACGCAACAACAACCAAGCAGGGGAGTGAAAAACCTGGTGGGCATCCAACTTACCACGAGTGTCTTCGTCGCTAGAATCGCTTTCCGGATGGAGACGACGCGGCAGCGTGGTCTGAAGACAGTGTAGGGCGAGCGCTGTTGATGATGCCCGAGATGTCTCCATCAACCTGCGTGGTCCTCTCTTCTTCCGAGAACACTCCGCTGCTCCTCAGATCCCACGCCATATCGAAGGCCCCCCAGTCTCGAAGGCAAAGTACCGCAGGAAGGGAGGGTAGAGAGGCGCTCTTCTGTATGACCACGGGTTGGAGTAAAACGGCACTAGTGCCGTGAGCGCTGATTTGAAGTGAAGAAAAATAAACAAAAAAAACATGAAAAAAAACCTCCTGGTTCGCAAATTTTTCGCTGCCCACCCATGTTGTGGAAAAAAATGCTGGGAGGGGGGAGCGAGGGGGTGACGCTATCCGCCGAAGTTTCAGTCTTCCTGCAATGGACCCCGTCCTTATCTTGACCTCGAGTTTGGACACCTCGACTCGGGTTCTGGTTCTTATTGTGTCACGTCAGAACTGAGCACCTGTTCATTTGGCCGAGTTGTTAAGGTTTGGATTTTCTGAGCCCCGGTGTGTTCTTAATAAGTGCGGGCGTCATCTGCACAACAAATGGAGGACCAAGATACGATCCGAACAGAGGAACTTACTGATGGTTGAACAGCAAGAGACCCGACTATGGATGCGTCCCTCTTGGCGCCACCTGTGGAGCTTGGGAATCCGAGACCCTCGGGCTTGGTCTCCCTCGCCCCTCGACGGCACTCGCTCTTTTTTCATGCTCTTCTGAGACCCTCTCCTCTCTCCATCTCAACGAAGAAAACTGCCAGCCCTTAGCAGTGGGTAAAGGAAGACTACTGCGACCTGGGCCTCACCCCAACGAGGGAAGCCTGTGTCCTTATTGGCGTCAACAAATAACAAGACACTCTTCTGGTACTGGAGGTAATGGTGAGAGATGTCGGAAAAATCAGCCGTCCAACGCGCTCGCGACAAGGCGGACGCGGCATTAGGAAAAGAGGCGCGAGGAACAGCAACGCCGCCTTGCGGCGGAAGACGGGATAGAGCAGCTAAACCAACCACTCTCCGCTAATCGCTCGAAAACCCCGCCGGCACGCGGGACACCGCCGGAACGCATGCCTGCTTCGCGCCCCTCGGGTGATAGCAGCCCTCCGGAGGAAAAGTCCGATGACCCCACATGTCCAATTGCGTTGTGAATGCCACCTCGAAACGGGTACATACATAGATTACATGTTCCCGCTCGTGTGAACAACCACCCTGTGAAAGAAATTACAAGCGCCACAGCCGCTGATGTGCCTTCTGTATCGCCAGCGTTTTTTTTGCAAGAAGAGCACCTATTTTGTACAATAAGAAAGCTTTGTCCGGCACCACCTAGAGCGATACAATCGAGAAGTGCGGACGGGTCGCCTCTTGTAATTTTGGGATTTTTTTTTGTCTTCACTTCAATTCAGTTCTCAGAGCATTAAGCGTGATCGGTGATATGGGTGGCTCAGTTCTGTGTGTTGGGAGTGTAGAGCAGCTCGGCCAGACGGGCCGTAGTAGGGTAGGGACGTACAGGAAAACGTGTTGTGTTCATTGGGGACGTGCTTCAGCTCGTCAATCGGTCACGGCATGAAGTCACGGTTCACGCTCATCACGCTGAAAGTACCCAACGAATCTCCATGACTCTCCACCATCCCATCACACTCCCAAGGAAAATAGGAATCAACTTCCTGTTCCTCCGCACTCGTCACTGCAATTTCAGTACACGTATACGCAAGATATCACCTATCATGCAATGCTACGAGTATATCTAATAGCCCCCCTGCTCGTATGCATCGTCATGCTCCGGCAACATGTCAATATTACCCTCATCTCCAAAACAAGAAAAACTCCTCCAAGACAATCACAAGAAAAATCCCAACACAACCAAAACTCCTCCAAAACAATCAACAAAAACCCTAATACAACCAAGCAAGACTCTTCACAATCTACTATAATAGTGTCGATACGCCGGGATTCGAACCCCTACCCTGGCTTCTAGAAGGTTTCGAGGGTACCAACTAGACTACCGGGGCGACCGGATCGGATACCTAAGGTCAAATGTCACGCTGAGCGATATCACGTTGCCACGTTTCCAGTAAGCACTGGTTTTACCGAACCGAGGTCCTGACAAAATGTTGCTAGATAAAAACAGCATCATGATCGCCTTTGGCGCAATTTTTTTTATTTGGTGTGAAGAATTATCTTTCAAGGATTCTGTGCTGAAAATACCAGCAACCACCGTCTAACACGGGATCAAACATATCAACATGACAGTGCATCAGCGCAAATTTCCGTTGTGACACTTGACCCGTCCGAAGGAGCCGTGCCAGTATATCTTTGCAGAGAGCACTGCATTCCTCCGAAACATGAAATTGCCGTTGATGTCGTGACTAGCCATGCCCCAAAGGACACCGCTCCTGCAGTAGTTGAGCCACGAATTATCACTGCCGACGATATTGAATCATCTGATGATACCCTTCAAGCATTCCGCCACATCGTTGTTGCGCTAACAGTCTGTAGCTGGTCTGCAGTTGGTAAGACAGCGGTTGTCCAGATCGCTAACCCGTCTGATAGACATGCTTAACTGGACCGGGATACTATTCTATTCTAGAGTATATTTCTCCAGTTAAGACGGTGTCTGGGAAAACAATTAGATAGCGCCGTCAAAGGTGATATCAAACTTTTAGAAAAAAGAAAGATGAGCTCAACAAGGCGATGAAGAAAGCGTTTACGGATACGACATTCTCGCCTCAACAATGCTCACAAGTTCTCGATTCATGTGCCCGTTACAGGAATGTGTTTTCGTTTTCGCCGAAAGAATTGGGGAAATGCACCTTGACCGAAGCAGAGGTTCTGCTCGACCCCGGTACAATTGATCGGGCACAGTACCGTGCAAATCCACGAGCACAATTAGTTATCGATAAATGTACAGCACAAATGGAAGCTCATGCTATCATTGAACAGCGACCTAGTTCTTGCGGATCGGCGGTCACCATTGTGGCAAAAGCCGACGGGACCGTTCGATTCTGCGTGGGTTGTTGCGGTACCATTAATAAGAGTTTAATTCGAAAATTGTGGTCAATAACCGATATTAATGCCCACACTGGTACGGTAGGTGGAGCAAAGTTTATTACTGTGTATGATGTGCAGAGCGCGTACCACCAGATACCTGTTGCAGCAGCGGAGCAAGAGAAGACCGCCTTACTTAGTAACTCAAAAGGGAAAATGGGTTTTTGAACGCCCCTATCTGATATGCTCGCATGATGTCATAAGCATTTGCACATTTTGAACCCCGAAGTGGCCTCCTCGTTTACATGGATGACATCATTTATTTGCTGTAGTTCGACTTAGGTAAGTAAGTCATCTAACGTTGTTAGAATTTTCATTCCAAGCCCTTCAAGCCGCAGGGCTCACACGAAAACCTTCCAAGGTACAATTCGGACCAAGAGAAGTAAAATATTTCGGCCATATTTTGTCTGCGAAAGGAATTCGAATCGGAGACGACCGCATTAAAGTTATGGTTGACCTGCCCGCCCCTAAACGATCAAAGAACTCCGTTCAGTTTTCGGCATGATAAATTTTGTGAGGAATTTCTCCCAGACTTATCCACGGTGTTAGCGCCGTCGGTAGACCTCACATAAAAAGAGCACGTCAAATCAATCGCAAAACGTTGGTAAAACGAACATGATGAGGCGTTTGCGACAGTCAAACGACTGCTCACGGAAGCACCGATTTTAAGCTTTCCCGATTTTACCAAAGGCTTCGTCGTGCATGTAGATGCCAGCGAAGCAGGTACTTGAACTATCCTTGCGCAGCAAACAGGAGATGACCTCACCATTATTGCATATTTTAGCCAACGATTCGATAATGCTCAGCGCCACTGTTCCCCAACAATGAAAGAATGTTACGCAGTCGTACTCGCAATAGTCTACAGTACTGGCGGCCCTATTTATGGGGCAAACGTTTTGAGGTTGTTACGGATCATGCCGCGTTAGGCTTGTCCACCATGCAGGACACCTTTAATATGCTGACTAGGTGGGCTATTGCTCTGCAGTCGTTTGACGTGTCCGTGCCGCACAAGCCGGGGAGGTTACACGTTGTTCCAGACACCTTACCTCGGTTGTTTGCGATTGAGTACCAGCAACACGTAGACGCCCCGAAACTAAAACCGATATGTAGGAATCTCCCCAAGGATCCTGCTTTGCATGTAGGTATTCCGAAGAGACCTTATCAAGTGGCCGCAGACCGGCTGGAACATTTGAAACCAGTGCGAAGTGATCGCGAATTGTTAACCATTAATTCGGTTTGCATCAGCTCGACCAACGTTTTTAAAACGATGAACCGAGACATCTTGCGATAGAGCAAAGCAGCCGAGTATGGGAAAAACATCGACTATCTTGTGGGGAAAAACGCACGAGTCCCGGAAAACGAAACAGCAACAACCATGTCCTATTATTTTGTACGAGACAGATTGCTGTTCAAATCGTATTTACCAGGTTACCTCAGGAAACGGAGTACTTTCACTGATCAATTACTGTTGCCACAAGCTCTCACGGGCTTAGTTTTGCACGCTTACCTCGAACACGTTTTGTCAGGAGGTCACCTAGCATCTAGATCAACGTATGACAAGGTCCGCCAGAAACATTGGTGGCCAACCATGAGTCGCGACGTTCGCACTTGGTGTCAGGAATGCCAAGCATGCCAGCGTCGGAAAATCGCGCACAATCGCACCAAATTCCTAACTGGACACGTACCAGTACATCGACCGTTTGAGCGAGTTTCAGTGGACTTTGCTGAATATAAGAACGATTCGGTGTCAGCCGCCGGCGTACGATGCAAATATGTCCTCTCCATGATGAACCATCTGACCCGATTTACCGTGTTGACTCCGATTCCGAATAAATCAGCTGTCACAGTTGCTCAGGCTATCATCGACCGCATCATAGGAATTTTTGGACCGCCTGAGATGTTGCATTCTGATCAAGGGCCTGAATTTGAGAATAGTTGTTGTTGTTGTTGTTGTTTCTCACATTAGCTCTAAAAAAGAAAGATTGGGAGCCCGTGGTCTAAAAACCCGGCATACACGACCCCACGAAGAAACAGAAAAAAATAGGGTACAAAAACCACTCGGAAGAGAAACAAAATGAATGATAGAAAGAAAGACCAGCTACCGCACCAAACGAGAAAGAGCGTCGAGGAGACCGATCAAAATAAAATAAAAGGAGAACGGGGAACGCTTCCCACACCCGCCTACAACGCCGGAGGGTTCCGTGCCGGGTTCCCGCCGACCAGGCATCCCCCGCCCTGCACCACACCCCAGGGGGTGCAGCAAGACGGGGGGCGAAAAACAAACACATATATATTCCCACAAAAAAA